GTAGATCAAGATTCCTAAATACCATTTTTGCGTAGTAAATTACAGACCCAAAAGTTTGTTTTTACAATCTACATAAAAATAATACAATAACTCAAAATATATACTTACTGACTTCAATTAAATAAGATAAATGATATTTCAAATGTAAGGAAAGATTTCTTTGAATTTCCGAAATTTCCTGGTGGAATAACTAGCTCAAATTCAAACAGAAATTAAAATGCTCCACATCGGCCTTCATTTTTTTCCTTTCACTATGCATTATACTGAAGATGCCACAAATTATTAAAAAACTTCCGACCTTGAAAAATTCCTAGAAAGAAAGCGAGAAGAAAGATTAACATCAGTTGCAAGTAGACACAATGAATAGATATTAGGAAAAGCAAGAGCCTAACACATAAATTAGACATATTAGATACCAAAATCAAACAGTATTTACATTATTTGCACTACTGTCCTTATCTTTGTTGACATATTTATCACAACATTTCGGACGCTGTACGCTCCGGCCTTCTTCAGGTGGTTGGAATGTCGAACTGAACCCTTTATTTCGCTCGCTGGAGTAGACTGTTCTAGTTCCACGTGCCATGTAAAATGGATGTCAGTTATAAGTTATCTCCTGTTAATTCCCCTCTCGAAGTTCTCCACTGCCTTAACCAGGTATTGAACTCACAACTCTTTGGGTCCAGTCAATGGATCTAATTAACGCCTTTATCCACTGTGCCAAAACGTCGTGGTAAATATGGCAAAAAAATGAGGACAATAGTCCGACTAATTGTTATGGTACGGTTTCTTCTACCACGGTGATAGTCCAAGGTAGAACCAATAAAGAACTCGAACACGGATATGGAATAACACAGATATATTAAAAGCAGATATATATATACAGAGAAGTAGAAAGTGTTAGTACGAACAATCAGGTTCAGTAGTAATTGTCTGAACGCGACTCTGTTTCGGACTGCCTCTGACTCGACTGACTGACTCGGTCTGACTGACAGACTCCTGACGGACTTCACCCCAGACTTCACACTAAACGGTATTTAGTCACCCCCCACAAGGGTATCATGTGGCACAAGGCCGGTTTAACGTGGGATCTCCGAGCCCGTGGGGTCGGCCAAAAATATGCCCTTTGAACCCGTATAAATGGGTTCAGGGTCGGTTTAATTCCCCGAAAGAGACTCCGCCCTTCGGCGTAGCCTCGTTCGGGTTCCTCCCCGCCCGAAGGCAGAGAGTTCAACCGATCAGCCGGTCGCCCGACTTCGGACTGAACTCTCTGCTTCCTCTTGAGGCGCAGTATTTATTAGGTATGGGATAGTCCATTATGTTATTATCGGTAAGGTCCCATAACACTAATGTAAATAGTGTACATAATAGCACATCTCAGAAATATAAACAGATACCAAAATCAAACAGTTACAACAATTAAAATATCTGGGAAGTGTTTTGACAGAAGTCAGAAGGTGCCACACTGAAATTTCGAAGGAGTGCTGAGAAAGCGAAAGAGGCCTTCCAAAAGCTAAACAAAGTATTAAGAAAAAAGAAAATTTAAATAGAAACAAACAAAACAAAGCATAACTTTCATGTAATATGAGTCCCTTTATATGGCATGGAATGATGGACAATGTCTCCACAGATAAAGAGACATTAAGCTCCAGAAATTTGGTCCTACAGAAGGATGCTGAGATTAATATGGACCGAACTAATGAGCAACGACAAAGTTTGAGAGAAAATATAAGCAAAAAAAGAAATTTATATTTAACATCAGGAAGACAGTTAAACTATATCAGGTGCACAACGAGGAAAGAGGACTTGGAAAATTTGATACACACTTGGCCGTTTGAAAGTAAGATGGATAGAGGAAAACAATGAATAATCTAGCTAGCGAGCATGAGGAAATGAATAGCAGAACAAGGTTAAGGAGAGTTAATAAAAAGCCAACATTTATTAAGTGCGGTTACAGACAGGAAACTAAGGAGAGTTATGATCAACAACGCCCTAAATGGACAAATTATATAGAAGAAGAAGAAGAAGAAGAAGAAGAAGAAGAAGAAGAAGAAGAAGAAATAGTAACCACACATGTAATCATATATGATTGTATTGACGACTACGTGGACATACACACACATATTGATTACATCTTACTTATTATAAAACGCAGATTGTGTGTGTGTGTGTGTGTGTGTGTGTGTGTGTGTGTGTGTAACGTTTATATATTGGATCGGATTTCCTACATTTTTCAACTGATTTCAACAAAACTTCACAGGACTACATAAAATTACCTTGTGGTGGTTCTAACAGCCAAAAATCGGAAAATACAATTGTTTTTGCACAAAATCAATTTGAAAACACGATTAAGAGACATCGTGAGAATGAAAGGGGGACAACTCACATCAGGTTAAAAACCCAGGTTGTTTGTGTATGTGTGTTCCTTTATATATGGGATCGGATTTCCAACATTTTTCAGCCGATAAAACAAAAATTCACTTTTTTTTTTTTGGCAGGTCGTGTTACTTGCACACTTTTTTTTCTTTATTTTTAATATTCAGAATGCTTTAAATATTCCATTTACAAGACAATTGTTTATAAAAAATTCTATTCAATCGGTAGAGACTCATAACGATTGAAAACAATGTTTTTGTTTGAGTTTGGGTTTGACCAATTCGTAAAAAAAAAAAAAAAAAAAAACTAATTAAGACATGCGTGTCCGTCAACCTTAAACAATAATCTTTGTCAATTTTATTTTTCAGTCTTTATGATGGTGGATACTTGATCTATCTCTTACTGTTACATCCGCGGGCAACACCGGGCTCTACTGTTAGTTATGAATAAATTTTTAAAAAATCAACAAAAACATTTACTCACTTTTATTAGAAATTGAATTGTATCCTTCATAATTCACCGAGACTTTTCAGTTAGACTGATGAATATTTATGAGTGTTTCCTTAAAATTTAAAACCTAACAGCATTTTTAATTTTGTTTTTAAATACAAAGGACAAAATATTTATGTGCTTAATGGTTAGACACAACTCAAAAAGAGCGAGCATATCCCTAGAATTGGACTGTGAAATGAGAACTACCTTGCTATGTCGATTAAATAAATCATTCGGTTAGGAATTTGCTGAAGGTTGCACGAATTGACAGATTCCAGAAAAGGCCGAAAGACAATTTGTTTATTTGACAATGGGTCATTTAAATGTATCGTGAGTTTAGAAGTAATAAGAATATGATATAAGTTATTCTGCTTTCACATTTGAATACGTGGTAGATGATACACAATTTTTGTGCATATACTTGTTTGTGTATTCATAATTACTAGAGGCGGTGATGTGTGTGTTTTATATTGTTGTTTGACTAGTTTTAGTTCTTTAAAAAATTGTAGGACATTATGTGGACTAACGTCAAGGAAGTTCAATGGTGAGGGTAAGAGCGTGAAAAATTGCCTGTACTACCTTTTGTTGCATGCACTTCCGGCCACTTTTAAAGCATTTTTGAAGAGTTTTGTTGTAGTTTTTTTTACGGTTGTTTTAATTTTTTATTTTTATGCGCATATATATATATATATATATATATATATATATATATATATATTAAAGAAAAACAGACAATTTTAAGGTTCGATTATAATAATTTATTTCACCAGAGCCCTTTTAAAGGACTCCGGATCATCAGATAGCACTTCCAAAAATGAAACGAAAAATGAAATGAAAACTGATGGGTAGTGTAATTTTTTGTAATTTAACAGAGAGTGTAATAGGAGTAGTTAGAGAGACATGGTAAAGTTTAGGGAGGGTTTAATTTAATATCTCTTTCAATCATACATAGTATTGGGGGAGGAGGAGTGACCAAACCTTGACCTATTTAAACGGTTAGCTTAACGGAAGTGATATATTGAAACGGGAGGGGAGAAGAGAGAAAAGAAAAAGGAAGAAGGAAAAAGAAAGAAGAGGAAGAGGGAAAAGAAGATGGCTGTAAATGGGTTTTACATATGTAGGAGATGGTTGGTAAGTTTTAGCAATTTATGTATAAAATAGATTTTAATAGATTTTATATATATATATATATATATATATATATATATATATATATATATATAATATGAATCAATATATCTTTATGAAAAGTAAATAAAAATAAAAGATTATATTAAATGAATTGCTACGTCTAGTGCTAGAGTAATTATTTGATTTTGTCATACAAGATGATTTTTTCTTGTCAGAATCCATTTTGCACGTTTATAAATCTACCATTAATCCCTGCATTAAATATTGCTGCCATATCTGGTCTGGATCTCTTGCTATCTCAAGAAGATCAAAAAATATCTGCAATGTTATTGGTTCTTACCAAGCATCTTGGAATATATCTCTTTCCAACGGACATAACGTCGCTACACCCACCCACCGTGCTTAAATATCTTCACAGCAATTGTTCTCATGGGTTTTCATTATTCGTACGTAGAATTCAAAACTTTAATCGTATTACTAGATTGTCAGTTAGGTCTCATCATCTTACTGTTGACATTAACCGTAAGTTCTATTCGTATAGTTTATATCGCAATTGTATAACTCTTTACACCTCTCTGGTTACCTTTCAACTAATATCATCAAGAATATAAATGTTGTAACATCGATCGCCATATACTGGTTTTTATTGTCGTTTCTTTTCACGAGAGATTCATCTTTTCAGTCTCACCTGTATCTTGGTGGCTTTATCGCCTTATTTGGTCTGAAAAGATAAAAAGAAATAACTGTAACAGATGGAAACCAAAAAACTGCCTTTCGATTCGCGTGACAGCTTAAGACATTTTTTTTTTTTTTCAAATATTGCAGACAAAGAATTAGATTAGATATTCGCTTCTGGCCGCGACAGCCACTTCCTTTGCAGTTCACCATTTCTTGGAAGACGCTGTAGACTCAAGGCATAATCTATAATCCTAAATGAACACAGCCAACAGAAACGGCGGACATTTACAATGATGCTTCGCATCTAGTACGACTGGTTATCAATGCAAGTAAACACTCTTTCATTCATTCATTCAAGACTCTTCATTTTATTCTTTCCTCAGAATGAATTCTCTTCTCGCGACGTACGCAATTTTCCCGCTTCTTTCTTCGCATCATTTACTATCTATGACAAACGTTTTTTACTCTCTCTCTCTCTCTCCCTTCCCGTCTGTCTATCTATCTATAAATCTATCTATCTATCTATCTATCTCTTTGTCAATAAACATTTCAACCGTGTGTCTATAATATTTACTTCTCATCCTCTGTTGTATCAAAAGTTACTATACGACATACTGCCTGTGTTAACATTGGCTAACATTATTAGAGAACGCCTATACAACTATAAAATAAAAAAGATATGCACCAAAAACCATTATCCGAGTTTAAATTGTTTATACAAGAAGGTTCTGAAAAGTTCTCGGCCCGACATTGTATAATGTTGCTTGGTTATTTAGATTTAGGAAGTTATTTAGCAACTCATTATATATATATATATATATATATATATATATATATATATATATATATATATGATAAAATATAGTTTTAAGGTAGTATTTATTTGTGGTTAATATCAGAGAGAAAGAGTGTGTATGTAAATATAAAAGTGGACACTGAAGTTAACACCTAGAGGCGACAGTCTGTTTCATGTTGAATGCAAGCGTCAGGCCATGTCTATCGCCTCTGGGTGTTGAATTCAATGTCCACTTATATATATATACATATATATATATATATATATATATATATAAGTGTGTGTGTGTGTGTGTGTGTGTGTATGTGTGAGTGTATGTGTGAGTGTGCGTGCGTGCGCGCGTTTTGTGTGTGCGTGTGTGCGTTTGTGTGCGTAACTGTGTCTGATAAATATATATGATTTGTATATATGCAAAGCAACTTAGGAAGAAAGAGGTATGGTAAGGTTGAAAAAAGATTTCGTCTGATGCGTTTCGTCCTTTAGGACTCGATTTTCATGTAGATACGACTGCACTGCAATCTGTTCATTATCTATCTATCTATCTAATTAATATTTATGCCTCTTAAAGTCTTAATATCGATTTAAACCTGCCCATTGTATATGTCAAATTTCTCTCCCTCTTCGTCTATATAAATATATATATATATATATATATATATATATATATATATATATATATGTATGTATGTATATATACAGACACACACACACACATATATCACACACACACACACACACATATATATATATATATATATATATATATATATATATATATATATATATATATATTGTGGGAGTATGCTGTTGAGTGTTTAAATTTGAAAACACGTGTCTCCTAGTATATTTATAACAAAACAAAATGAATATGAAAATGAATAAACATTTAAAGACTAAAAAATGTGTTTGTGTGTGTAGTTTGGAGGAGGAGAAGGTCCTAGAAAAAATGAAGTGAAACGTGCGTGTGCACTGGTGTGCATTCCCCTTTGCGTCCTCAAGTGGCGTTCTTTATTGCTTTTTCTTAGGTAAGTGGGTAACACCACACACACACACACACACACACACACACACACACACACACACATATATATATATATATATATATATATATATATATATGTGTGTGTGTGTGTGTGTGTGTGTGCGTGTGTGTGTGTAAATATATAGAAAATAGGATGGAACTGGTTAGGTAAATAATCCAAAGTTCCTTAGTATTTCAGTTATTATTTTTAAAAAATAGTGCTCGATACAAAAGTAGAGCATAAATATAATTATTTATTTAAAAATAGGATTCCAACTCGCGACATAAGAGGTCTCATGTTTCAAAACAAGAGCCGAAAAATTCAATATAATTATTTAAATTAAATTGAGTTAAAGTAAGCTCTGTTCCATCATCAAGCGAATTTTTTTTTTGGAATAACGTATTTCTGAAATTTACGTGTTTTAATAATTGAAATCAAAATTTCCATGGTAACAGCTAGGGCAATTTTTTTAAATTGGGTAGGCGTGTGTTGGGTGTTAATGATAAGTATCAGTATAGAGTAACTTTCATAGATGTCAATATATATATATATATATATATATATATATATATATATATATATATATATATATATATATATATATATAGTAGTAATAGTAAAGGCATTCAAGCGATAGAAAAATAGAATTATAATAAGAATAATAATATTTATTGTATATTAGTTGTCCTAAGAGCATGACGTTAAATGATGTTAGAAATCGGAATTTTCTGACACGCCTGTGTCCTTTGTCAACAAGAAATAAAATGAAGCTGGATTTGGGGGATCAGTGCGCCGTTTTAATCTAGAAGTCTTGAGCTAGTTCTTTGTCCCGATAAGTGATGAAGTGGGTCTGTAGATGATTTTTTTTACGGAAAATGTAATCATTGTATATGCCTAAATGCCTATTTAAAACTAGAATGTGTGAATGTATTATAATAATGTATTTTTTCCTCGGGTTTTCGGCTTTCTCCTTGGAATTTTAATGAAGACGCCAAAAAGATGACTCTGACGTTATCAATATTATGGTCCGCTTTCTTGAAATGCGAAATTGGTCTTAACCTGGAATCTCAAAATCATGTACTTTCTCACCGAAGTGACATGGCTTCACTGTTTTTCTACAAATATTTTCATGGCATTTGTTCTGATGAGCTGTTCATCTTAATACGCCGTCTGCTAATAGAATGAAACTGGGTTTCACTGTTTTACTGTTGATCTAACTAGATTCCACCGTCAGTTGTATTCCAATAGTTTATTTCCTCGAAATTGTCACCAGTGCAACACACTTACGATTCCGATTTCTTGCTTTCCTCCCATATACAATCTTCAAACTTTTAAATGCAATATCAACTGCCATAGTGTGTCTTCTTGAATCCTGTTCCTTTAATGTCCTTCCTTGCTAATATCTTCTCGTTCTCTCTCACTCCCTATAAAACTTCTGCGTCCTAGCGATATTATTGCCTCGCTTGATGTTAGAATGGAACGCATGAAAAGAGAGTTATCTCCCTTAATTGGAACCAATTATGCCACTTGATCAGAACTCTCTAGAAGGTCAGAAAAGAAAAGAGGATTTCAAAATGGCGTTCAAGCATCATTACATTTCCCGTATTAAACTTCAATCCATTGGTAATCGCCGGTCATGTTTTACATCTATTGTTATCCGGTATTAAATAAAATGTATAACGTTTCGAATTGTGTGTTTGTTCTTATTTGATCCAAATAAGTAGACACGTACCCACGGAAGCATTGAGATGAAATGTTCTCCCATTCTCTTTCACTTGAAATAAAGTAATGCAAGCACAGAATTTATTTTAACTGGAAATAATATTTAAGTGTATTATAAAAATCTTATTTTCCTACCAACTCCAAGTTCTTGTTCAAACATAAAACTTAGTTGGTAGAAAAAGCAAATCTTGAAGATAGGCACAGCTTAAAGAACAAGATGACCACTACGTAAAATTTCAAAAGGAGCAACATATTTATTTATATTTACAAATTTGAAAAGTACAAAACAACGGTTGCACAAAAGATTTCCTTTCGTGCGGCTCTTTGGTCAGGATAACACTTTCCTTGGGTAACAAAAAGAAAAGGGATTACCCACAGAAATGAGAAAAAGAATATTTCAGAATTTGTTTAAGAAACGGATTCAAGTACAAAAATTATTCCCTTCAAAAATAGAGAAAAATTGGGGAAAACTTGGAGAAAGTATTTAAGAACATGACACAAGGTAGAAATTATTCAAATGACACCCACCTCTGTTTTGAAAAAGACGACTCAGAGTTTTGCGTTATAAAGTTCCCTTGTTTGTTCTTGGTGTTTTCAGTCGTAAGAATCTGCAGTTTTCTGACCTGTGACTTGACTTTCCTTTGAAGTACGGAGTGATATTCTCAACCCGTTCTCATCAACGGCAAATCCTTGTTTCCTATCTGTTGTTCTCCTCACGGATCTGCCTCAGCCGACTTCTTCAGCCTTCTGCTCCTTCCTCTGCCCGCTACTAACAGTCCGTTTTATTTAAAATGTGACTGTGATATCGGCCCGATCCAAAATTTGACATTGGCCGCCAAACTTGTTTCTCATTTGCCAATATATAAAACAAACTTTCGTCATGTATATAAATGTATAAATTCGAAACCCTTCAAACAATTTTGATGGTTCACCAATTGAGCCTAAAAAGGTCATAAAATGAACAAATATTAACACACAAACCGTCTAGCCCTTCTGAAGAATAACCTTTTCTCAAAAGGTGTATATAAAAAAAAACAACGTAGACGATTATACATAGATTTTTAACAATTCTTTTAGAAATAATAAAATAAAATTTTCATAGTATATGCGTCGATTGTTTGCAAAGTTTTCTATATCTTGCTCTTACCCAGAATTCATTTCGCTTAATTGAATTTTCCCCAATATGTCTACGGCAAAAGATAGCCCTTCCTAATAATTTTTCCTCGAAATTTCTACTGTCGCTTTCTTTAAGGATGGTTATCAAAAATTGTGACGTTCATGTCGAGTTTTTAAGACTAAAAATATTTTGCTTGAGTCTTACTAGGCCACACTGTCTCACTAAAAAAATTATCTATTCAGATTTGTTTTCGTCTACGTTTTATAATGTTTCTAAATTTAGACAAGGTGTTGCTGTTGAAATTGTTTCTGCCGCAGTTCGCTGCTGCTTTTGTCATGGTGATATCTTTCCATGAAACATTGCACCTGGATGCAATGAAATATCAAAGAATCAAGAACATCCTCCTTTCTTACTTCCTACGATGAAGACATCTCCTCCACAATCGCCCACGTTGTTGCTGGTCTGCGCGTTCGTCGCCCGAGCCACGGTTCGTCATTCGCGACGCTTTTCATTCGGGAAATGTATTCGTGAAACGATTTGTTCGTGACGGGAGGCTTTCGTAACCCGTGGTTCTACTGTAGTTTCTTTTAATTTTGAAGGCATGTTTCAGCATTCTATTGCGATTTCGCATCTCTCTATGGCGTTTTCCGCCTTCCTTTAAGGAGACATTCAGATAGATAAGTTTAGTATTTAACCGTAAGCCAGCACAAGATGCAAGAAGGGTTGAGTGCCTTGATGGTAAATTCGTTCTCTCCTTTCCGTCTTTTCCTTCGTGCAGTCCAAAGCTAATGTAAATTTCCTTCCTTTGTCACGCGTGCGACAAAAAATAAGTGAAGTAAAGAGAACGAAAAAAGCCCAACTTTTTACTGTAAACAAAAAAAAGGGTTTTATTTTAATTTTAGTGACCAGCAGGACTGACGCTAGACTTCTGGCCAGTAACACACTGCGTCTTCTTGGTCTCACGTTTTCAACTGACTTGAAGTGAAACGACTACAATGAATCAACAGCTACATCTACTGCAAGGAAATTTGGGTCACTGTGTCGACCCAGAAAGTTTTTCTCGTCACAGTCCATCTTGCACATTTACAAATCTACCATACGTCAGTGCTTATGTTGTCTGGGGCTCTTCTTATTCATCTCAAGATTCTTGACAAAATCCTAATCTGTAAGTTAATAGATCTTTACCTGCCATCTCAATTCAGCCACATTCTGACTGACCTGGAGTGTCCACACCCTATCTTTTCTACAAATAGTTTCATGGCAATTGCTCTGACTAGTGTTTTTCCCTGGTGTCCCGATTTTCTTTTTCTTGCTCTTCCCACCTCTGGGATTCCCTTCTTTTTACTTCCTCCCCTTATAGCTACAATTTTCAAAAATGTAAATGCAACGTCAATCGCCATCTTTTGTCTTTTTGAATTCCGTTCATCTTTTTTCCTTCCCTATGCTCAGTTTTTCTTTCGCTTTTGCACCCTTTAACTCCCTGCGTACTAGTAGAATTTCAGCCTAAAAATAAAATTTAGTCAGTGGTTAATAATGAGAAGCAATAAAATCCAACTGGCAAGAAATAAGAAATATTTCAAAAGAATTTCATTTGGGTTTGCTGTGCTTTTTTTTGTTTTTTTGGAGTTTTTTTTTCGGGGGGGGGTGTTTTTGTATTTTTTGGTTACTGTTTTTTTTTGTTTTTTTTTTTTTTGATAGTTTACATGTCAGGTTAGCGAATGGTAGAAAACAGACTGCTCTGAAGCAAATTTCTTTAACAAATTGCACCGCCAGTGAACTCGACTAATTTGGGCGCCAACCAAATAAAAGACGGAAATACCTCTAATTGTATGGTCAGCCGACAAAATCAAAGAGTTCTTTGGAGTCTTTAGTCTAAATGACCCATAATTCGGGAAAGTTTCATTTGTATGAACAGATTCACTTAACACCTTCCAAAGTTCCCATGCGTGATGTACGCTTGAGTGAATGTGTTGCTTTTTGATACCTGATTCACTTTGCTGACGAATTCCCGCATTATGTTAACGTTACTTTCAGCGCGAAAGTGGTTTGCCAAGTGAAGCCAAGTCAGCTCTATTATTAAACCTATTGTCGGTGGGAGAAAAGATGTATTCGTACCTTTGACACGTGTATTTAGGCGCAAGTGAATGTAACGAACGTGACAGAAATGAGAATTGTGCTCTCTGATTAGCAATTCCTGGCCGTTACACATCACACCACACGCACATACGATATACCCAAGCGGTCACCCATCAATGTCATAAATTTACTTAACTTCTTTGAGCCGACGGGAACCGGTGATTCAACATGATATGGCCGGAACTTTAAACGTTAATTTAACAATTGCTATGTTGGGACATTTACAGTCACTCTTTCATACACAATGGTCTTCTATATTTAGTCTTATTATATGTGCCGTGAACCCTCCGGGTCATGCCTCTCTCAACATATAAGAGAATATAAGAAAGAAGCCATGTGTTATAGTGGAACACACCTATTCTATAGTTAATAGACTCTCTCACCTATAATAAGTAAGAGTAATGAGTCGCTCAGTGAGTCGCTCAGTGGGTCGGTCTGAGTTCAGTCTGAAGTCGGACGACTGGCTGACCGGTTGAACTCTCTGCCTTCTGGCGGGGAGTAACCCGAACGAGGCTACGCCGAAGGGCGGATTCTCTTTCGGGGAGGTAAACCGACCCTGAACCCGTTCATACGGGTTTTAAAAGGGTATATTTTGGGCCGAGCCAACGGGCTCGGAGATCCCACGTTAAACCGGCCTTGTACCACATGATGCCCTCGGAGGAAGGGGAAGATTGAATATCGCTCAGTCAGTCGATGCCGGACGACAGTTAGTCGAATACTGAAGCATCAACGACCATAACTAGATTACTCTGCGTTATACCTATTATAACAAGTTCCTAACGTTTTGTACGTCGAACCTATTTTAGGACCGACTTAGTACAAATACAAGCCTCCACTGTGAAATCACTCCATAACACCATGCAAGACAATATACGCCATATAAAAAGAGGTGACATAATAACGAATGAAAGATAAGCGATATATAAGCAATTATATGGAATATAAAAAGAGGAAACATATAAGCGAATACGCGACATAAGCCAATATACGGCGTTTTACCATAGCAACAGAATATTTCATTGCTAAGTGGAAGAGATCAGACTTTTAATATATTAATTTTTATTTTTGTGTCTGTATTCGAGCATTTTAGATATATATTTTTTAGTCTAAAAACCCGATTCTTCGTACGTGTGATCAGTGTCCTAAAAACCTTTATTGTTCATATATAACATGCTGCTCCTAACTATGGTCGACGACATTTTCAAAGATATAACTCTTGTAAAATACGCATTTACCTTTCATTTTAGACTTTTTAGCAGCTAAATATTATGCAAATTTAGTATTAGTCCAAGAATTTATCCAGTTCGTATCGGCTAAATCTAAGAATTTACAAAATGTATTTTGTTTTAAAAGGAAAAAAAAATCAGCAAGCATTTTGAGCAATCTCGCGGACATGTTCACAGAAAAAAATATAAAAGCTTGCAGCGATCGTAAAATCACACTAAGAAAAACGAAATTATAAAGAAACATATTCCTATGGCTAGTGGCTATATAAAGTAGCGTGGAAAATGTGTTTAATATCTACATAAATAACTTCAAAAAACAAAATCAAATGCAGTCTTTGTTTAGTTATTTAAACTCTTGGTTTCATTTCCACTATAAATATAACATATTATCGGTCATAGAAAATATCGACCCACCTGATAGGTTATCAAAGTTAATATTTAATTATCCTGTGTAATGACCCACCTCTTATATTTAGCCGTAAGCTTCTTGAGTAGTTCTCGGTATGACGATAAACTGCATCCGGCAGCAAGGCCTCTGATCGGGAGATTGTAGGTTTTGACGAACGAGGAACCACCTCTTGATTTCCGTTGTTCTTAGGTCCACCTGGGGTGGTAGCACTTGTTATGGTCAGAGATATGGCTATATAGTGAACCTAAACAAAAACCAAAAGCCTATGAAAGTATAAAAATAGAATAGTACAATTAGGAAAAAAATACCCATTTATTGTAGAATTGCCAACAATATATTTTATCTGTAGTTGAAGGTATACGTTTGCGTTCAAATTATTTAGATTTCAGCACAAAATAATCCAGAAAGTTTGTAGCCAAACAAATTAACTGAGCAACAAACACAACAACAAACATGTAAGAAATTTTTCATGACATTAATCCGTATAATATCCTACAATTTCTTAAATCAAACTGTATTCTAAAATATAACTTCAACAAAAATACAACATAAAACTCATATACCACCGCCTCTAGTAGTTGTCCAAACAAACATGTACAGGGTGACCCCAAAAAATGGGAACTTTTTAACAATCCAATAAAACCAAATGTGATAGAAGAAAATTATTTTATTAATAGTAATTGAAATCTTAAAATATGCCATTTAAGAAACAATGATGGAATTTTCATTTTTTTAAAATTACGTCCTGTAGATAGCGTCCTCCTGTACGAATGCATTTTTGAAATCTGCTGTTGAGATTCCTCATTGACTGCTGCAACATCTCAGCTGGGATACTGTGAATTTCATCTGGAATTCTAAATGGCGAAATGCTTAATTGCTCAAGGTCACTGTCTCGCAGTGTTGCCACTTGCTCATGTCTGGCAATACGCACTTCAAAAATTCCCGTTTTTTGGGGTCACCCTGTGTATGCACAAAAGCTGAGTATTATCTACCATGTATATCATTGTGAGAGCAGAAAAACATTTGTATTGCTTCAAAGTTCCCAAGAAAATAAGAATTTGGCATTAAATGACCCATAAGGAGTTGATATGGCATTAAACAAATCAATAAACACCTTGGAAAAGCTATATTTGCGAGATGAGGTATTATGCAATATTTAACTATTTACGATATTTTACAATAATTTAATAATGTTTAATATAATAATATTTTAAAATATAATGATATATGATATAATAATATATTTAATATTTAATATAATAATATTTAAAATTAATATACAATAAGTATTTACAGTTTTTCTATTGTTCGGACTGTTGTCCTCATCCTTACTGTCATATTCACCACGCTTCGGCCATTGTACTCTCCGGCCGTTGGTTGAAGTAATCCAGTAATATGTGAGTTTAATACCTGACCATAGGAGATGTGAACAAAAACGTGGAGAGTTGTGTTTATAAAGGAAAATAACTTAAAATGAGATGTCCATAAAAGGTATGACACGTGGGACTAGAACACTCTACCCCGGTTGATAAAATAAAGGGTTAGGGTCAAAATTTCAACGTATAACATCTGCAAAGTCCCAGCGCGTACAACAGTCGAAACGTCGTGATATAAAATATACCAGCAATACGTTTTGCATAGTAAAAATATTACCAGCAATCAATTTTTGTATTTAATTGTGAAAGCAGTGTAACATATAGTATTACTTTAAAAATCCCAAGAAAAGTACATTTCGGCATTAAGTAATCCATAAGCAGTTGATATGCCGTTAAACAAATTATAACTATAATTTCCTATTCATCTGCGATTGTCCGCTATTTTGTACATGTAGATTATGATGTTATTTTTGTCTTTGTCATACTCTTTCTTGTCCATGCTTGTTGAACCAGAATATATACAAAAATACTAGATATTCCATATAAAGGTATATCTGAAGATGACTAGAGGTATTTACCCGAAACGTTGTTTCTAAAGTAAAATCTGTAATAATCGATAATTACAAAAATATATGAAACAAATCGAAGTATATTTACAATTCATTAAATAAATAAAAAATATTATCAAAAAAAAAAGCACAACTCCAGTTTTCGAAACCATCTGTCATTGTATTTTGCAATGCTCCACAAAAATAGCACAGCTATGCCTCAGAAGAAAAGCCAAGTGGATACAGACGTTGGTTAATCAAGATGTATGCCACTTACTGGCCGTGATTTCAATCCCAATATGAAGTATTGAAAAAGATCCCGTAGAAACCACCAAGAAATTGCTTAACTATAACCAGCGCGTACGTCTGGAGGAGCGGAACGGTGTGTAAGTATTAACATCCATAAGAATGAAATATTAAGAATGATAGCCAAAATAAATCGAATGGGTCAAAGTATAAGTTGTGCTCTGAGAATTAGGAGAAAGGGATTATCAGTCGTCAGGAATAAATTACTGTTATTTATATACATTTTATGTATACAAAATATCCCTACACCCTCTTTTTGAAAACTACAATCTGGAAACTGTTTTTTTTATTATATAAATAAAACACTGTAGGGTGGAGTAATGGATAGCGCACGGATTGAGGAATCGGAAAGCCGAGTTCGAATTTCAATCAAATCCATTAGATTCATTTACGTGCTATTACCCTTGGGAAAGGTATGAATCCTTTTCTTCTCCCCCAGCTACGGGTAAATACCAGGACAGACTGGATTTTGTAAGAGCAGCAAGACAGTACAGTTCCATGAAGCGGCCAAATTACTATTTTTTCTATGCATAAATTTTGGTCGATGCACTTTTCGCCATGTAAGAATCGAAGAGTTATATTGCAAACAGCCGTCCATATTTAACCCACTCTGATCACCCCTGTTTGCTCAACAGAGCCAACCTAAAAGAATAAAAGACAGCTATTTATTGTTTCGACCATTTTCTAAAGACATCGAGAGCATCGATGCCAGTCGACCAATAAAAGGGAATAGAGTCTCAGAGAAACATCGAAATCTGGGCAGCCTAAATCCACTCGGCTTAAGTTTCGCCATTTTTCTTCTTTTACCTGTCACTATCGCTGGTGTTCGCCTTCAGCTGACCTATTTAAGTCTGCCAGTATTTAAGACAATTCCTATCTATCTATCTATCTATCTATCTATCTATCTATCTATCTATCTATCTATCTATTTGGAATGTAATTCTCAGACAACGTTGTCCATAGGAAGAGATGCCTGCCTAATAGAGACACGCACACTCAAAAACACAAATATACATTTTCATTTCAAGGCCGCAAAGAAAAAACTAGAATTATAATCCACTTAAACACATAAATTGTACACACGAACACTGATTGACAAAAAAAATGCTTGTGAAGTCTGCTTTACTAATGAAAGATAAACAGCAAAACAAATAAACATACAAGAATTTTTTTATCTTTCTTTCTGACAAAGCTTTAAAAAAATTGAAACATGTAAGTATTATAAACGTTTCCTATGTGTTCCTTATCATATTCTGTCAGATTACGATCTGCAGTTCATCAGTATTTGATATCGATCCATATACATATATAGATACACGCACTCAACACACACACAGATACATAAATATATATATATATATATATATATATATATATGATTTTTTCATATATATGTTTATCTACCCCACTCAATTGCCATCAATCTCCCCACCTTTGAAACACACTCGCTTTCGTTCTCTCCCACTTTCTATGTACACAGACGCACACACACATATATAGAAATTGATGCGTCTTAACTGAATTTTTCTGGCATCTTTTATGCAGTTTAATGAGGTTAAGCGAGTGTAAAGATTGTCTGTATTGTTACTGGCTAATATATATATATATATATATATATATATATATATATATAATAATGTAATAGGCAAAGAAAATTTAATGACTTGTTTATCGAGCTTTTCTATTATTCTGAAATTTTTAAAGCCTCTGAGAATAGCTAAAGAATTATCAGAAAGCGTTTGGAACAGTAACAATACAGCCAATATATATATATATATATATATATATATATATATATATATATATGTACCTCTATTCATTTGCGATACCTAAAGTGTAAAATGATTTTTTATAAATGAGAAAGCATTCTTGAAGTTTTCATTTTAGCCTTACGTTTAATTAAAACTAAATGATTTCCAGTGAGCAAAATACTCTGGTGTAATTCAAATAGAAATTATATTGATTGGAATCTCAATAATTTTGGTTGCTTTCAGGAAATCGATAAATATCAGCCATTTTAAACACATCTGTAAACAAAAATTAATTCTCGGTTTTAAAAGTCTTGCAAAAATCAAATATACTTTTCTGAAATTTTATTTAAGGGATATTAGCTGAATTATGGTAGAATTAATATAATTTGAAAAAATATTATTTACTTTAAATTTAAAATAACGGAGAAAAGCACAATTAAAAAAAACAGTAGCGGTGATTATCACCATCGCTTTTCACCCGTAGATCACTTAGATGATGATAATATCTCTCAACACCTTTACCGTTGTTCTTCGGAGACTTTATCTGTTAAAGCATAATTTTAAAGATGAGGGGTGAGTGGATTTTTATATAATTCTTAAGTAGTCATTATTATTAAAAATTGTTGCAAAACAATTTTTATCTAATTTGGGGAAAATTATACTGAAATTTACTATAGTCTTCGCACTTATTTTCTGATTATGTCGTATATGGTCAACCATACCATCGCACAGGAGCACATCACGTAATATTCAAATGTACCTAAGAAAAAATTTAAAATTAAAAAAAAAAATATTAGGTGCACACGACTTTTATTGAGCTTTTCAATTTTTCATTTGGAAATGTAACTTTCATTTAATAGCAATATCAACTAATCCGATTGAAATAATACTGAATTTTAAGCGATTTATAATATTATAAATTATTATAATTAAAATTTTAAAAAATGAAAACAACTCTTGTAAAAATTAATTATTCGTAATTTTTTCATATGACAATATTGTCCTTACTAAACCTTACTTATAGAAGTAATTAAAAGCTTTTCTAGTTGAATAATGTCATAATTTTATTGCATTTTTTTTATTTTAAGATTAAAAGCAGGTTTTCGATAACTGGTGGCCCTGTTTTGCAAAATAAAAAACTGACGATTTAAATTTTTTAAAGAATCTTTCTTTTAACTAATAAAACATTTCGGGATTGCAATAGAATTTCTCGAGATTAAGTGTGGGGAGGGAACATATGTAAAAAGATTTTCTAAAGAAATAATTTCTAAAAAAAATTTTCAAAAATAATTTAATTCATTTGTGAATAAGTTCGGGAAGTTTCATTAAAACCCGACATTTTTTTTTATTTTTGCAAGAATTTCCAAATCCCTCTGATTTTCACAGGATAAAAGGCGCCAAAACATTAATCGTCAATATTGCGTAGACAAGCGACATAGAAAAGATTTTTAACCAAATTTTCGAACGTTCTAGAAGGTATTTAAAAATTTTATAAAATAATAAGAATATTTTGATTTTTCCTTTGAATAATAAAATAAATATTTTGACGATAAGATTTTACTTTTATTATGTTTGGAGCCTTTTTCATCCTGCTATGCTGCTTTTCAGCGAACAAGTGGAGGTATATATATATATATATATATATATATATATATATATATATATATATATATATATATATATATATATATATATATATAGTCGACTCTCCCGTCGAATTCGTCAAGCAGATCAGTTCCCAGGAAACAGACAGCCCGACAACAGCACAAGAAATTTGATTATCGTGGTGAAGGTTTCGTGCAGGACCATCCACACATTTTGAAGGGACGAATTCAGAGATCTGGTGCACTAAGTGCCACAAGGTCCCCAAACGACCATCCGCAGGTTTTGAATTCAGAGTTATCCTTCTCCTAGACCAGTTGCCACCCAAGGCTATAGAACACAGTCTGTCCTGCTATTTACCCATAGCTGGAGGGAGAGGAAGAGGATTCACACTTTTGATATATATATATATATATATATATATATATATATATATATATATATATATATATATATATATATATATATGTGTGTGTGTGTGTGTGTGTGTATATATATATATATATATATATATATATATATATATATATATATATATATATATATATATATGCTTGGCAATTAGCTGCCATATTTTTATAATTTTATGTCTGGGAATAGGTGAATTTATTTTTGTTTTCGTTAAGTGTGTATTTAGTAGACATAGGCATTTGTCTATAGGGACGTTAGTGTATAGATATTTTATGTATAAACTGGCCATATAGTTGTTTTTGATGTTTATGTTTTTTTAATTTGTTTAGGAGCCACCTGAAATTTTCAACGTTTGAAGAGCTGATTGTGCCGAGGTTAAAATTTTGTTATATGTTCCGGCTAGATTATCTGGTGCGCTGTCTATCCGTAGTCTCATTGGTATGTCTGGTTCGTGTGTTTTTGGTACTCAGTATAGTGCGGGTATTTTTGGATAATGTTCAATGAGTTTTCGCCAGGACGTGTCTTCATTTTTCGTAGTATTTTGACTTTGCTTATGAATTATTGTCACTTTCATGTTCTCTGTTTTGTTTTTTGTTTTTTGTTTTTTGTTTTTTGTTTTTGTTTTTTACTGCGCTGGTAGTATCTCGACTATGACTAGCTTGGACCGACTCTGACAGGCTTGGACCAGCTATGATCAGACAAGACAAGCTGTGGATAGCTTAGGCCAACTCTGACCACCTTGGACAAGCGGCAGAATTAGGCCAGCTATGACCAGCTAAAACAAGCGACCCGAGTGAAGACACTCGCGTCGCCACGTTGAAAACCGACCTTGTGTCAAACCTGACTCAGTAGGGGGTCAAGTAAATACAAAGTGATCTCTGAAGTAGTTTGCGACACATTATTTATCTCTCAGCTGTGTCTCTGCCTTTCGGCAAAGTGCACTCAAGGGCGGCTCGGTCAAAGGACAGAGTCGCAACGGACGAAAATTATACTGAGAGGTGCCCAGCCCTTTTGAAATCTGCCCGTGGCATCGCCCACCAGAGAGAAGGATTGGTTCTCGCACCGAGTACATCTCAACCAACAGGGCTCAAGCAATTTATTTCCTAGCCCGGGTGTACGCGCTCGGTCTCCCCACATTAAACCGACTTTATGTCAGAACCTGACTTCGTTGGGGATTGAGTAAATGCAAATTGATATAAAGTAGACTTAGGTTTTTTTTTTTTAATCTCAGAATTCGTGGGATAATTGAGCTCGAATTTTGCATTTATTCATTTAGAATCCATAATATAGGTTTTAATTAATTAGCTATTATATTTCTTTAACTATTCAAATGTTCAATGTATAACTAATTCTAAATTCTATTTCCCCATCTGTACACTATATTAATTTTATCTTATAAATTGTCGCCTGTTCTGTCACCCATGAAATAAAATTTTTTGATTGTACGGAAAATAATGACCTACGTACATCAAATCTTCTTTAAGCGATCAATTTTGAGTTCTGTAGTTTATTGATGCCTATCGCATCTACTCCTCCCTAGCCATTGTGATGATGGCCAAACCAAGAGTCCTTCACAGGAGCTAGCTTAAATACCTCCCAATAGGGCGGTTTTTAAGCCATTTCATAATAAAACGTTCACTGCAATTTGGGATGCAAACGGAAAAAGAGTTACTGCCCTTGGACCATGAAAGCAAAGATATGGCTAGTATAATATATTAATATATATTTTTAACTTCGCATAATCTGGCAACCCTGAATATGAGCTCAACAAATATCGTTCCCTGCTTCTAATTTTTCTAGAGCTTTTGAATACGCTATGAACCATTGAAATCGGAACAGTGGTAGTTAATTGGATACGCACATGCACAAACAGACGCACATACACTGTACTTTATATATAAGAGGGTTAAAATATGAGACATGGTTTTTATTAGTTTGTTATTATGAAATAAAAAAAAATCATTTTATGATTAAATTTTGCTCTTGTCAAAATATCCTCCATTACCTTGATGACTGTAGCACAAATTTTTGCTATTCGTTGCAAAATGTTCTCAAAGTATAACTTTTTAATTGATTTCCCCTCTTTTATCAATGGCTCTTTTTAATTTTGTTACAATGTTTGCTTCAAAATTAAATATTATGAAAATGATTTTTTTTTTTTTTTGTAGTGTGCCCGAAGTGTAACCTTGATGTGTTACAAACAATGGATACTAAATACCCGGAAGATATTACAATGAGCATTCACCATCTAAATTAGTTATACTCCATGATAACAGTACAAATTTAGATGTTTTGCTCCCAATATATATTCTTAAGATATGAAAATATATTCCGATGTTATAATTTTTTTCAGTATGGAGTTTTGGATTTCACCACTTTACATACCGGTAAACAAATATAAATAAATATACAGTTTAATAAATAAACGGAGTTTCTACTCAAACACGGGTATCACCGAAATTAACGTTTAAGTAATTATATATATATATATATATATATATATATATATATATATATATATATATATATTCCATGAATATGGAATCGGCTATTGCCCAACATTTAGTTGAGAATATAGCCTGCGCCAAGTCGTTTAAAAAGAGTTGTTTAAAATTATTCATACAGCCGATTCCAACAATCATTTGAAGATTTTGGAATCGGTCTGCATAGGATTAAGGAAACCTTCTCTCTGCCGACAGAAAGAATTTGTAAAGTCTCTTAATCTGTTGGGGGGATATTTTATTTTAACTGTCCCTCGCTAATTTATTTACACGTTATTTCCCCACCCCTCGTTACAAATATATACACTTGTTTGTTATTTTAGTGTGTTTCCCCACCCCCTCTTTTTGCTCTTCATTGTCGTTAATATTCTTTTCGTTGATCCAACGATTGTCTCCTGATGAGATGTTAGTTGAAAGGGCCTTAGAGACTTTTAAAATTAAAATCAATACATTCCTTGTTTTTAAAACTATATATATATATATATATATATATATATATATGTTTGTGTGCGTGTGTGTGTGTATGTTGACACAAGCACTCAGACATATATATAGAGAGAGATGTGTGAACGCGTGTGCGTACGTATATACATGTGTGCGAGAAAACGTTATTCGGCGAACAAAATAGAGAAACGGTCCGCGCGTTGACACCGCAACTGACGAAAGATGTTCGCTACAGAATCCAACAATGAATACACCGTCCAGATGCGTACGTATGTACGCAACGACACACTGTCCTTATATATTTATGTTTGTGTGAGCTCCAGCGAGTGAGCGTACGTGTATGTATATATGCCTGTGTACTTCAATGAGTGAACGTGCGTGTATGTATGTTTGCGTATGTATGAGTGGCGTTCCGACGAAAATTTCCCCCACGACAATAAAAACACCTATACACGCAAGCATATATAAATCCAAAATTTTAAAAATAATCAGTTTGTCTGACGATCGCAAATAGCGTGAAACTCAGTGTCACAAACTCTCATCAATCCAACTATATATATATATATATATATATATATATAAGTGTTGTAGAGTAGTTTTCACAGTGAAGGCTTGTATTTCACTTAGTCGGTCCTAAAAGGTTCGACGTACAAAACGTTAGGAACTTGAAATAATAGTTAATAACGCAGCAATCTAATTGTGGTGGTTGATACTTTAATGTCCGACATCGACTGACTCACCAACTCACTCTGAGCCCCCTGGCGACTCCTACTACTACTACTTATTATATCTGGGAGAGTCTATTTACAATAGAATAGGTATGTCCTAGTATAACAAAAAGACAGGATGTGTGTGTCTGTGTGTGTAAGTGTGTGACCAATGTACGGCCCCAATTTTCGACGGATTTGCACCAAAATTTACATCCACATGCTCCAAGTTAGCAGGAATGGCAAGACCAACTTTGCATTTTCTCAACTCCCATCGATAGTGGAAATAATCGATTTTTTCATGCTTCTACGGCAGTGTTCATGTAGTTTGCGGCCATTTTGTACTAGCTAGAGTGATGGCCAATAGCTGGCTGCCACGAATAAACAGGAAGATTCTATTGGCCAGCGTGAGAGCCAACAGCTGACTGACACGAATGTTAACTAGCATGCTAGCATGCAAAAAAAAAAATCGATAGCTGCATTCGTCACAAGTGCGAAAAAATTAAATTTGCATGGCACTTTACTCCAATTGGCTCATTCGCTTGCTTAAACTCAACGTTGATTCTGATTCCGCAGAACTGGGTTGGGTTTGAAAAAGTATTTGTTGTTAACATTCTTTTTTCATTCGGTTTTTCCAGTTACGAGTCCTTTTTTAAAGCTGATCGTTTTGTGTTCATTTTGTTTATTTGTTTTTTCGTAACAGATTTAACGTTTACTATAGAGCTTGGAAAAAATTTGCAGTGTGAAATAGGCAAGAAGTAAGACATGTAGCAACATCAGCACGGAAAAGGGCACTCCTTTAAAGGCAAGGAAGGGC